AGCTTGAATTGTTTAATAAATAAGCTAACAGGCTCAGTTTGGTTTGACCTGTTGAGTTGAAATATATTGTTCAAATTCGACTCTGGATGTAAAAAAAGAAAGAAAGTTTGTGAATTATTAGGGAGGCCCTCTAGGCTTGGATTATTTGAAATTGTGAATAATTTTTTTGTTTCCCTTTGACCCATATGTCATGATAGAAAAGAGACCAATGCCCAGCATTTGAATCACATCCACATCTTGACTGTATATGTGGTGTATGTCGTCTTAGTTGTGGCTCATGATACTGTGGACCATGCTGAAAGTATTAGCTCCATCATGTCAAAATATTGCAGAGAGTTTGGTACTATTTGAGAGTGGTTAGCAGTCGATTTTAGATTAGAATTCTTGCATCTCATCTTCAATTTGGATCGCCAAACTACAAAAAAAAGAAAAAAGAAAAAAAAAAAAGAAATTTTGGTAGCATTAATGTTATTTGCCATTTGTGGTTTTTGTGTAGTCTCCTTTGGACTCCATATTTTTCTCACTAATATAGTCAAAATATTTTAACAGAAATTCTTCACAAGATGCCAAGATTTTCACTTGTACTTATTAATATATTTTTAAAAAATAAACAACTTGCAATAACTCATATCTCTCTCTATCTCTCTTGCATTTATTAGAAATAATTGGAGATATACCTCAAAATTTGAGAGAAACTTTGTTTTTATTAAAAAAGAATTAGAATATATGAGACATAGCAGCTGTTTTAAATGGATCTAGCCTTGCCCTCATATATATAACGTGACTTGTCTATGGAGTTAAACTTGTCATTATTGTCAAGTATTAGTGATTTTGCCCTCATATATACCTGACTTGTCTATGGAGTTAAACGTGTCATTATTGTCAAATATTAGTGATTTTGAGATTTATAGTGGCCGTCCTTTTTTTGTTTGTTTGAGCTAACAGTAAGCAGATATATCCTTTTTGGAACTTGTTACTATTTAATATTTTATGCATTTTCAACTATTTTTAATATTTTATCCATTTTCAACTATTTTAACTCATGATCATGTCTACATCGATGAGTTTTTTTTTTTTTTAAAAAATTCGATCAATATAAATTATGTTTTTGAGATTGTGTATTTCCGCCATCTTTCAAATATTGCCCACCGATCTGAATATTTTAAAATTGAAAAATATTTTCATTTTTTTATATATAAGTACGATATTCGGTCCCGACCGCCGTATTAAATTAGTCCAAGTATTGGTGCTTTCTCTTTTTGGCATGGTAGTCTAGACCTTGCTGTTTCTATTAGTTTATGTGGTCATAGTATTCAGTATTTACTGCACCACAAGTTCCAATAAATAATATTGCCAGCTCTTATCACAGGGTAGCATATTATATAACGGGAATTAAAATGGAAAAAGGAAATAATTTTTAATTTTGGGAAATAATTGTTTAATGAGGTTTATTTGAAAATAAGAAATTCCACCAAGCGGCACCTAATACCTATTATTTAATATAAAATTACATCTAAGTTATTAACTGATCAACTCATGAGTCTTGAAATTAAATAAAAAATGAGGGGGATGTAAACAGTTAATGTCCAAGTGTTTTTTTGATAAATTTCTCCAAACAATGCTAGATGTAACAAACTTAATAATGGAAATAATGATGGTGCCAAATTTTAAATGATGATCCTATAGAACTTTTTTCTATGTGTGTAGGATCCCAAATGATCACTATTAAATTTGACACAGATTTTTTTAAAAGTCAAGTCCCACACTCATGTTATAATTTTTTTAAAGATCCGCACCGACTTTAATGATGATCTTTTGAGGTTCTACACACATTAATGGAAGAGGATCCTGGAGGATCATTACTCTTTATTTATTTATACGCTCAACAATATTTTATAAAAGGATACGCCAAAATGCAATTCCTTTCAAATTTAGAAAGAACAATATATGAGATGTGTCGATAATATATAACGGCTTTCATAATTTTCAGTTTTCATTCATTCCTCCTAAATATTTATTTTCGATTGGAATTTGCTTATTCATGATGACACTTGTGATGATCCTTGCGAAATTGCCCAACTTATAATTGGCCAATTCATAGGTTCAATTCTTGCTGGATGCAAACCAATTGGAACGTTTAATAACTGCTAATATTTATCCATATCGGGCAATACCTATTCTAAAGGTTGATTCTATATCGGGTATATACCGAAGCGGTGGGCAACACCGACTGTGCAGATACTCCAAGGGACTCTTTGTTCATTCTTACACCATTTGATTGTATTCATTGATACTAATTAATATTGAAATCATATGTTTGACTAAAATTAATCTCATTTAACAAAGAGGACATCTCAACTTCATTAGGTGTGGTGCGGCCACACGGCCTTGAATAAGCAAAAAAAAGATTTCTCAAGTGATCTCTAATGAAGGCCCTGTACCTATTTGGACCCGGATTACCCAAAAGCCTTATGTCAAAGTTCAATTTAGGCAATACCCATACGTTCTTTCATAAATGTATATAAATTTGAAAACTTTTGTATTTTTCTGACTTGGGCCAAATAAGTTCAAACTTGGCCCGACAGTTACTCGGGCTCCGCCCATACCGAATTCCGTGCCCCCAACACGGCAATGAACCTTTCCTCCCTCCCTCCCTCCCCACTCCTCCCCCTCCTCTCTCTCTATCTCTTTCTCTCTCTCTCTCTAAAACACACATATTTTGCCTTAAGGCGAACCTAGTTATGGTATCTGCATGTTTGACTTTTATCGTAATTTTCCGCCCATTTCTTGTACGTACCTCCTCATCTAATTATCGCTCTCTAGCAAAGTTGTGACAGAAAAGACATCCTATTTATAGCTGATAATAGTAATAATAATAAAAAAATAGCAAGTGTGATCCTTACACGCGTTTACCTAACCATACATGCCAACTACTACCAAAAAACAAAACCCCATCCATATCACTACCACCCCTCTCTCTCTCTACACTACCAAACCCCTCTCTCTCTCTCTCTACAAACCAAAATAGACAT